CAAGGGGCAAGCCACAGAATAAAATCAAGTCTTTCATGCTGAATGGAAAAAGTGATCTGAAACTTGGAATCCATTTGTATAGTAAAGGACTGTTGTATTTTCATGAGCAAATTACTCATATCACAAGAATAACTAAATTAATATTGAATAGCTACTAAAACATACTAACTATGGGTTGTGTTATGCATGCCTGGTTATTTCTTTACAGATATAATGAGTAAATGATATTACTGATCTAGTGCATTGGATAACTTTTGGTCAAATACTAGCCTATTATAATTCTTGACAATTCAGCCACGAGATGGCGCACCTCTCAACAGACCAGATGAACAAAACTGAAGGCCTGTCAAAGGGACTTTATTAGATGCCTAAAAGAGACATTCAAGCAGTGCATTCAAACATTCACTCCTTCCAGCTTGGCAACTATAGTTCAGGCTTGTTCACATTGTTGATCTGCTCCTTAAGACACAAAAGACTTGAAGCACGGACACTATCCGCTATGTCAAATAAGTACAGATGTTCAGAAAGGAGCCACATATGCTAGCTGTAGAGTCTTCAAAAAAGTTAGCATATAGGACCACTGTTTAAAGTGGTTTACACAGAATTGGTATGTAGGCTATATAGGCCTACTACAAATGTAAGAGACTGAACAGAGACTACAGCTTGGCTCAATACGGATGAGCAACTGACTGATAACTGAACCAGACAAGGTTTGTGCTCAGGACAGATAACCCAAAACTGGCTTCTTGATGAAAGCGCCACACCCACCAGCGCTTTAACACAGAAATAGGCCACTACTGACTCATATGAGGCTCTTAGACTAGCGCTAAACATCTGGACACTTTGGAATGAATGAAAACCACAATGAAAACAGACAGAATTCTTGTTCATTTTTACATTTTCAGATTTTAATTTTAGTAATTTTATTGTGCTTTTTCTTTTTATTAGATTTTTTACATTTATATTTAGCATTATTTCAGTTGTAATTTTTAGTACTTCAGCTTTTTTATTTCTGTTAGTCGCCAGTGCAACATTTCTAATTTTGTAATTACATTTTTTTAAATTGAAAATGTCTACTGCTTAGATTTTATTTTAGCTTCATTTCAATTGCTCAAAATGATTTGACAGTTTAGTTATAAATGACAAAACATCTATACTAGGCCTACTTATCGGACGTCTACATGTAACATCTTCTGCTCTATTTTAAAGTGTCTCATTCAGTTATTTGTGTCTCTTACCGTTTGCTTGTTCTTTTAAGCGATGTCTTCTGGATACTTCTGAGCCTATATCTCAAACGTTATATACATTCACCACAAAAATGAAATTGGTCTGCAGTTGCGGTAACCATTTTAAGTCAAAAGATGGCGCCAATTAGTTACTCCAACACGACTATGACAAAATGTTGCTGTTATCTAGCTACATCGTCAACTTCACAGTGGTCGTCTATGCAGCGTTAAAAACAAAACGTTCACGTTTTAAATGAACTACACAGCGGTATAATTCAACATTCTCACGAATATTTGAATATTACATTAGCTAAAATGTCTATTTCTTGGGCGTTATACAACAATCGCCACTGAGCATCAGGATATCTAGTAAATTCAAAACAATTTCGAATTTCCATGTGCCACCGCGCTCTCCAACAAATGTTAAACTTAAAAGACATCTCAGTCAGACTAACGTTACGCCTTGTAAATAAACATTTGACGGTACAGTTTAACTGACGCTTTTTGCGACCTTTTTCGATTAATTGTGCAGCCCTAGAAATATGGCTCAAACATTACGAAAAAAGATTCGTTCATTTTGCTGAACGAGACTCAAAGGTCCGAGTCGGTAAAATGATCCAAACTTCCCTTCACTAATCTCAGCCTCATTTGCTCAGCAAGTGCAGGATCACGCAAATCTTTTCTAAACGTCGAGTTCTGCAGCCCGGTTTTTTTAACCAATCACCTGAATCCAAATGCCATGTAACCAATGACTCTTTCGCCCTGATGACGTCGCCACAACGGTGATTGGCTGTCTGATGGCATCACAACAGCGCGCAAACCCCCAAGGTTAGCTAAAATTGCAAAACGCTGAATAAACGGCTTTTAATTAACTGCGTCACATCATAAATCTAACGTAGGCTACTTGTCTACAGAATGTTTAAACGTTGGTCTGGGAGTTCGCAATATTTGAAGTTTGCTTAAAAAAAAAAAAAAAGCTGTTTTATAAGAGAAGTCAAGGACAACTTTGCTTCAGGTAAGTTTCATGTTGCAGCATTACATATTTTGTTATCTTTCAGTGGTGCTTTGTCTAAGAGCAAAAATAAAGTATTAGGATGAGAAATAATTAACACTAACATACAAAAATGTGATTATATAGTGTGAATCCCTATTCTTCAGAATAAAATTTATAAAACAGCGAAAATAGTGTAAAAAGGGTAACACTTTAGAAAAAGACTAACTGAGGCTAACTTTAGAGGAAGGCTTACTGAGGGTGCGTTTACACAAGGTTTTTTTTTTTTTTTTTTTGGACAACACTGTGAAAACGACCCCCTCGAAATCCGCGAAAACAGCTATACATGACGGATCAGTATTTGGCGATGTCACCTTGTAAAAAAAACACTAAACTAACTGGTGTAGTGAATGTGAAGTGGATATTGGTGAAAATGCAGTCGAAAACTCAACAAGGCAGTGCCTCCAAATCTCTGTGATTGGCTAATTACCCTGTCAAGTTTCACAACGTCTGTCAAGATTGTAATTGCAAGTTGGTAGGATGAATTACCGTGCATGAAATACTTTTTTACTGTATTATTGTAGTTAGTTTTAATTAGGTATGAGAAGATAAACATACAAAATTGTTTTACACTATTCATTCCTTGTTAATAGTGTAGCATAGGTTTTCTTCCAAAAACATAAAATGAAAATGTTACAAACAAACAATAAATAAATAAATGGGTAGGTAGGTATGTATAGAACATCAACTGTATTATAATGATATGATTTAAATGTTAATTGTAAATTATTGTCATAATACACAGATATTTTTGAATGACAATCAAAGTAGAAAGATGCTTTTTGTAGCCAAATTGTATAAATAAGTATCTTGTATTTCTTGATACAAGAGATATGAAAGTAGCACCGGTATGTTGCTGTACTACAGTAAAATATACACTTTAGTGGTCATTATATAAAATACTTGACCGCTCAATGTTGCGATTAACTAATCAGAATCAAGTAATCCAGAGGGTTGTGCAGTAAAATTACAACCAAAACAGTATTTATCTGGCACAAAACAAGGAGGCTTTCCTTTAGGTTGACAGCATTAAACTTGGATTTTGATTAATCTCAGTAACCCCTTTTCACCAATACAACTCAAATTTGTTCCATAATTTAAAACTAGAAACAGTTTTTAACTAAAATGCCACACAGGCACTTCAATTCAAAGTATCAGATGAATCAGTGATTTATTTTTTTTTTTTTTTAAGTTAATAGTGTCACTACTTAGATTTTTAGAATCCACTAATTTTTACTATGTAATTTGTTATAGAACAAAACTATAAATGCTCTTCAAGTAATTTTAACCACAGAACTTATTTTACTCATAAATTTGAAAAATGATAGGTCTAAATGAGATTTTTTTGTATAATTAAACGCATTATTTTTAGTTTGGCAGAGTGGAAACAACATGGTGTTCAGGAAACCCGTTGTTATTTTTGCAGTTCCATTCATTGGCGCAAGTGGTGCAGAAATCACACATTTCACCTTTAATGGATCAATGCTATAAAAAAGAAAAACTACTTTGTTCTTGCAAGGTCAGAGGAAGACACTGGTTGGTTCATTAAGTGGTGAACCCCAGCTGCTCCTTTTTCAGAGGGAACAGAAATGCTACTATTAAAGGGTTTGAATGATTAATAATCTTAACTAGGAGCTTAATGCACATCTTCTGCATTTATATTGCTTATTGTGTACGTGTTCCTTATCGGAAATCATAATGAAAAAATGTGCGAATGGGAAAATTGCCTATTTTTATTTTGTATTACTAAATAGCTATACTACGTTACATTCTCCAAAAAGAAACAAGATGAGTTGCCTACTGTTATATCAGTCTGACAATATGGGAATCCAAGATTAAAACAATAAATAAAGAAATGTCATACAAATGTCATGACAGTTTTGCTGTTAGATCTTAAGTGATGTGTTGCTGTTTCTTGTCTATCCAGTATGGTAGAAAGCATTGTAGAGTAGGAAAAATGAAATGCAATGATGAATAATAAATGAAGGGTATAAAATAGAAATGGCAGGATGTTAACTGTAACAGGATGAGTGACAGACCAGTTTATATTGACAGGATGCACTAAACAAATAAGTCTGTGACATCAAGACAATTAAATGACATGTCCTATTACCTGCATTCTCTTGCAGTAACATTAAATGTATGTACTTTCCCAAAGAGAAAAAGTACATATATACATAGTGCATTGTTTAAGTAGGTGGATTGGGATGCATGGTTGCTTTAGGTCATTGCCATCATTAGTGGTCGACCGATATAGCGCCAAGGCCGATATATCGGCCGATATTTGGCATTTTTCAAATATCGGCATCGGCCGATAAGTTTTTCTGTTTGGCCAATGCGTTCGAGGCGGGACTTTTATTTTGACGGCGCTGAGAACGGCAGCGCCTATGCATACAGTGCTCACATTCTCCCTCTTGTTAGCTGTCGTCGTTCCGTTAGCAGTTCTGTCTAATATGGATAGAAGTCTGTCTAATAATCAGATATAACGGTTAAACAAAGGAATTAAAATGTATACAAAGTATTATATTATTACTGCTTTTATATTATTAGTAATAGAAAGGCAAACATTATAATACTTTCTCATTTGCTGTCAGCATTCAGCAAATACGCATTTATATCATTTAAACAAATCTTTGAATGACTAATGAACATCTAATTTCAAAAACCCTGCAAACTTAGTCAAATCCAGCTGTGAGATCTTGTGAAGTGTGCATTTGACCTGCATGATCGCGTGTTCTCTGCGTGACTTTCGGTCCGTGTGAATTGAATACTGACAGGAGGAGAGTTCAGCTTCACTGAGACGTGCGATGGACTAACTTTAAACTCTTGATTTCAAATTATGCTGCGCTTTATGTATTTGCCCACTGTCATATTAATGTAATTTTTACTGTGTGCTGTATGTAAAATGAGTGTTACCTTGGCTTTATTTGAAAAA